TTCCCTTTAAACTCTGTTAGAGACCGTTGATCTCTCCTCCCCTGAAAATCATGTGATCCCCTCAAAATACCACCAAAGCATTCTGTAAAGAAGCACCATTCACAAGTAAAATATGTCTTACTTTGAGATAAGGTTCACTATAAAAATTGTAGCTGGAAGTACGCAAAGGTTTACATGAAATTGAAACCATTTACCACTTTAAATACATCAAACGCTAAAACGTGGTACAGTCCTAGAATGTTTTGAAATGATACCACAATCAGTAATAAAAATAATAACTTTATTTCTGTCAATGAAACTTCTTGTACAGCTGAGCTTTTTATTTTTTTCCTACGAATAAATTGGAAAAAGGGTCTTGGAAAATTTAGGATTTTGCAGAGGATGACCTCTTCCTTTCAATTTCCACAAAACACAACAAACAACCTAACAAAGAATTAGAAAGAGTGGCGTTTATTGTGTGTTCCTGTTTTTGAAGGCGGTTCCTAAGTACCTTTAAGTAAATATATGTTATAAGCTGCGGGTCCTCCACTACCGTTAGCTTCACAATCCACAGATTCTCCATATTTGTCAAACGTCTCTAAAGTGGTTGCACTTGCTGTACACCAACCGCCATTCTGAACTGCAAAGTTACTGTAACCCTTTCTCATAATAGCCACGGCGAAATTTCCGATGGGATTTGCACGAAAATTGTGAACATCGTCCAGGATGGAATCCTTTCCCTCTAATGTTTCAATTGCGCGACTTCCCACATCAGGCAGTGAGTCATTTGAGCTGTTTTTGTAACAACCAACGGCCTTATAACCTAAAGAATTATAAGAAATAAAAAATAAACAAAACTACTGTGACGACCATGAATTAACGATCGTTAATACAAAGTGATCGTGCGGATGAGGGTAACCTTGAAAGCACTTTTGCCGGTGTGTGTTGAGAATTACCACCCACAAAGCTTCAAGACTACTTCTCTACAGTTTGATGACTGAATGTCCTTAAAAGAATAGAGAAAATTAGCCGTGAAAGGCTTCTGAACAGAGAGATAAAGAGTCGCGGATTAAAATTTAACCCTGGGTTAGCGCTAATCAGCCTTTGAACAACCGGACCCAGGGTTTAAACCTTGTACTCTCTTTCAAGCTAACCTTTTATATGATAAACCTGATTGGCCCATGGTCCACCTTTGCCATCTGACTTACAAGCTGACGATTTGCCGTATTTGGTAAACGTCTTAACAGCCGAAGCACTTGAGGCACACCATCCGCCATCTTGAACTGAAAACACTTAGAATCCCTGCTTCTTAGTTGCTTAAAAGCATTTATTGCATTGATGGCGTCAAGTCGTGTCTTGTAGCTGCCATCCAAAATAGAATCTTGTCCCTCCAATTTCGGTATGGCTCGGTCACCGTGATCCTGAAAACACCCGATCGTTTCGTAGGGTAAAATGAGAGCTGAAATTTGAAATTTTCAAAATCAAATGATGGTCAGAATTTAGTGACAAACTGACATAAAGCAGCAGCTGGCATTGGGAGAGGTGCGGCCGCTGTGTGTACGCTCTATGGCTCAGCGGGCGCCACTTAGAAAGATAACACAAAGTATGTGTCACCTCAGTGATACAAAAACCATGATCAATGAAGTTACTTGTGCTGTCGTGTTTGTCAAAATCTCACGTATTCTGTAGACCCTCTATAAGCAAAACTGTTTTGCGAATTTTGCTAAATACTTGTCGAACAAATGACCTCAAAAGCATAATCTCTTTACTTTAACTTACGACTGATGACATAGACATTATTAGCCCGGGGTCTACCTTTACCATCACCCTAACAAGAGGTAGATTTTCCGATTTGTAAAAGGTCTGTGGCACAGTAGCACTTGCTGCACACAAGCCACCATCCTGAATTGCAAATATATTGTAACCCTTTCTCAATGCAGCCACGGCGCACTTTGCAATGGGATTTACACGGGAACTGTACACGCGTCTAAGGCCCTGTTTACAAGCAGGTAGGGTAACCCTAGCGCTAGGGTTACCCTGGCAGGAGGGTTACCCTAACGCTCCCACATTTCTTCTTTTTTTCATCGACGTGTTTACAAGGCAGCTAGGGTTACCCTAGCTGAGCGCTAGGGTTAACCTAGCGCTAGGGTAACCCTAGCTGCCTTGTAAACGCTCTGCTGGGGATAACTAGCCTACCCGGGACAACTTTTTACTTGTTTCCAGACCCTTTGAACATTGATAACAATGCGTGCGGTTACCAAGCATAGGTAAGTTGTCCCGGGTGGTAGGGTAACCCTACCTGTAAAATTTTGCTTGTAAACCCGGGCTATCTTTGACCCGCCTGCTAGGGTAACCCTAGCACAAGGGTTACCCTCCTTGCTTCTAAACAGGGCCTAAGATGGAACCTGTTCCTTCTAGAGTTTCCATTGGGTGATCTTTATAACATCCTACGGCTTGATAACCTAAGAGAAGGAAATTTGGTAGAGGCCAACTCAATTCATTCTTTCCAAACCTTAACTAGGGAGTGCTCTAGTTCATGTGCGTTATTAACCAAGCGTGAGGTTAAGATGGCTGGATATTGGCCGTTTTTTTTTGTTTCGCATTTTTATGGACCGAGACGAAGTCGAGGTCCATAAAAACACACATCTTATCTCACAGCAATACCAACTCGACTTGCCTCGAATACATCCGATGAACTTCAAACTAGCAAAACAAAATCTTAGTTCTCTAAATGTACATTTGACAGTCTTCACGTCCAGAATGACTGCAGATTGAAAGCATCTTGAGCGGTTTTTCCACTTTTTCATAAAGCCCAATGTTGGTTTTTATTTCAAAAGTACAAATCTAAAGTTTCCACTATGGCTTACTTAAACTTCAAGAAGCTGTGTTACCGATTGTTTACCTGAACCTGTCTCGTCTCCGGTCGTCTCTTTTTGGAAACACGAATGTAGTATCGCGAGACACTAAAACTAACATGACGAACTAACTATCCCTAAAACGACTCCAGCGACAAACAACCGAAGAACGACCATCACGATTGACTTACGCTACAACCTAAAACATCACGGCTAAACTGACCAATCATTCTACACGAACAGGAATTTTGTCTGACAACAACTATTCACTTGACTCTGAAGATAACTTCCGTTCAGGTTGTCTAAACGTCAGTCACTTCTACCGAGACAAGTCCCTCTCCCACACTCAACCGGACGATAAGACTACACGATCACATGAAAAACGAACGAAAGTATGTTTATATACCAACCTTTGAAATAATAAACTTGATTGGCCCGTGGTCCACTTTCACAGTCTGACTTACAAGCTGAGGATTTGCGATTTTTGGTACCTTTAGCTTAACTGATGATTCTCCGTGTATAAATAGAGTTTTACATTACGTTACATTACATTACATTACGTTCCAATGGCGAAAGCACTTGAGGCGCACCATCCGCCATTTTGAACTGCAAACACTTGGAATCCTCGCTTCTTAGCTGCTTGATAGCATTTATTGATAGCATCAAGTCGTGTATTGTAGCTGCCATCCAAAACAGAATCTTTTCCCTCCAATATCGATATGGCTCGGTCACCGTGATCCTGAAAACATCTGATCGTTTCGTAGGGTAAAACGAGAACTGAGATTTGAAAATTTTTTTAAAATCAAATGATGGTCAGACTTCAGTGGCAAAACAAAAAGCAGCTGGCATTGGGAGAGGTACAGCCGCTATGTGAACGCTTTATGGCTCAGTAGGCGTAAGTATTCCAGGATGAAATCTTGCCCCGTTCCAAAGTTGGCAAGGCTTGGTCATTGAAATCTTGGTAACATCCAATCGATTGTTATTGACCTATAGACACCACTAAAGATAAAAAAAAGGCAGCGTAAAATAAATTATGTGTGATGAGATACCGAATTAAGCTCAGATCGCACCTTCTCTTTATGTTTCATCTGCACTTGAAAATTCCTAAATTCCAGCTATGTTCATATAAGAAGACTAATCTTTTGATTTTTTATGTCTTTGGCATCTTCTTTAACTCGGTCAGCTAGCTACTTAATAAATCAATTGTATATTATTTAGTCTGTTGGTAAGTTAGTCAGCCATTCGGTCAGTCTATCAGGCAGCTCGTCGGTTGATTGTTGGTTTGTCAGCTCGTTTGCTTTATCAGGAAGAGCAGCAACTGTTTCCTGTATGTGCTCATACAGAGAATTCATCTCTCGTTTGACATAAGGCCTCAGACCATTGCAAAGTACTGTTGTTAAGGCATGATCCACAGCGAGCCAGTTACTGTACTTTGGTATGGTTAGTTCACTTGCAGGACCAGGTGGTCAGTCAACCGCAGTCAAATAATAATAATAATAATAATAATAATAATAATAATAATAATAATAACAACCACACTCTCCACTGCTCGTAACCTGATGCGCTGCTGACAGTTTGCAAGCATAGCTGAACTTTAGAAATTTTATTAAGGTAAAAAAAAACGAGGGTTTAAGAAATGCATGTGAGCCGCAGTGACCAATCGGAAAAATAACCTCCTTTGGTTGAACTCTCCACCGCAAAGGGAACCTTTAAGTTTATTGGTGACAGTTGTCCTAGATAACGCTATGATCAACGATGTGTTCAGTATAATAAAAGGAAAAAAATAGTTAAAAATAGAGCCCGGTAGTCTAGTTACACAGCTTGCCCCCCCAAAAAAGGATCACGTCATTCACCGGATGACTAGTCACTAATTTTGAAGTTTTTTTTTCTGAAGGTTATTTGAGTCTTACTTGATATCCGGCCAGGACGGAACTCAACGCACGGCCTAAGAAGGCTGGAATAGGAGATCAGATCACAGTTGTCGTCAGTGCTAACTGTTCGAATTGCATTTTGCATCTTATTTCCTCCTTTGACTTAAGACCTGTTCTATTTCGGTTGCAAGTGGGAGTGGCTGTCATGTAAGAAAGACGGATGATGTGAAGCACAATACTATTATATAATGACCACTCACAGCGCATACACAACTATAAGGTTGATAATTTTAATGAAGAAAAAGTATTTTGCAGAAATGTTGCGTCATATACATACAATAGGATTGTATAAGAATTATTTGCGGTCCCATCTGTTCGGAGGAGATCGAATACGACGCCAGTATTTGAAAGGCGGTGCTTACGTCTTTACATTTTATTGAAATCTTAAAACTTGATCAATGACCAAGTTTGCCACCTTAGACTGACATACTGCACATCAATTTTGGAGTTAGATGAAGTGACATGAAAGTTTTACGAACATGAAACTAATTCTAGTTTACCTCTAAATCTACGTCTAATGCTCTTCAGGAATATTAGGCATTCCAATACGTAAAGCTTGTTTACGTAAAGCTTATTTACGTAAAGCTTGTTTACGTAAAGCTTGTTTTACTTGCGATAAAAGCTGCTCATGTTTCTCCGAGTGAAGCGAAATATATGTTTTTGGTTCTAATCCGACGTTAAGAACCTTTACGTAATAATACTCTCTATACATCCCCAGAGGAAACTTGAAAAGGAACTCTAAAGGCCAAGAATTATACGTAATAACATCCTCAGTCCATCCCATTCGCTGCCTTACAAAGTTTGGGTACTTATGATGAAGACCTCTAAATGGAACGTATTCAATATCTAGGGTATAGTGTAGTATATGCGCCTTGAAAGTAATTTCAAATAGAAAACAAGCAATATTAAAAAACTTCAGCGGAGTACTTTCCTCGTATCGTTTAATTAGTAGCTTGGATATTCTTTCGTTGATGAAATATGGCTGATACCTATCAAACACTATTTTAATACAGGAGTAGTGTCTGAATACTTCTTCGTGCCACATTCTCATTAAGAAAAATAGCCCTCTTTCTAAACGTATGTCTAGATTCCATTGATTAAAAAGACGTAAGCTCTTTTTGTGCCTGTTGAATGTTGACCATAAACTGGGACCCTTGTATTTCTTCCTACAGACCTTCAAGTCCTCTAAGGCAAAAGATACCAATCTTGAATAAAATCCTTCGTAACTTAGAAGTTTTAGTTGTCTTAAAAGTTCACTGGCAATTCTTAATGTTGAAATGGGGCTCCCAATTGCCATGTTCTTTTCGTTTATTTCGGGTAAATCACAACGTACTGACTTATTCTGCCAATACCTATAAGTCGATAAGAGGCCCACAACAAAGCCACGTATGTCAGGCCTTATACTCATATCTATTTCTTTAGGAATCCAACCATACATCCTATTATAAATCACCATGTATTCTGCGCTTCTTTTGGGATATTGCATTCGCCCTCCTTGACTCTTGATAAACTGAACAACCTCTTCCCAGGGATTGTAAACATCATCGCTAACCTTGTTACTTAATATCTTCGCTAAGTACATAGGAGTTATTCCATCTCTGTTAGGACAATCGACGTCTAACTGATGAAGATTCTTATTTCTGAAGACTTCTTTTATCAAGTGCACCAGTCCCCTGGAGGCTGCTAAATGGTACAGAGTCAGTTCGGCTTTGTTTCGATCACAAACTATTTTGAAGTCACTTGTATTCATTTTATGGTGAAGGAGTTCTAAAGCCACATCAGAAACTTCTCCAATTGTTTCTAAACTTTCGTTGTCATTAAAAAATCTCCATAAGTTACTTCCAACATGAAGCACGGCGAGTGTGAGGGCGTCATGCCCGTGGGGACTAAGTAACGACACATTTGCACCCTGTTTTATAAGGTTACGGACAGCAACTATGTTTGCACCCTGTGCAGCTCTGTGGAGGGGTGTAAATCCTTCTGCGTCAAGGCAAGAATCGATGCTCTGCTTGTATTTTGAAAAGTATCCCTCTATAGCTAGAGTGATGGGACTTTTAAATGACGAGCGATTATGATCACTGCATAGTCTTTGCAAAAAGTCTGAGTAGCTCTTACTAAGAGATCTATAGCACAAAAGATGAAAAACGGAGAAGTTGAACGGCTCTCCACACTTGATACTAACAGCATTTTTAAGGACATCTCGAAAGATAACATCCATCCAATTTCTGCCATTATTCAGGTAAGCAACCGTCGGTGTCCTTCCTAGACTGTCCTGACAAGTTGGACTTGCCCCCTTCAACAAAAGAAGCCTGGCGATGTTTCCCTGACCTTTCATTATGGCACGGTGCAACAAGTTTCCCGAGGGCTGACAACTATTAAATGTTGAACCAGATGCAAGAAGAAGGTATACGACATAGTCATGAGCTGTGAAGGGACGACTTACTGTCACTAAGTTATCAAAACTGCTTTCGAGCAAAATTGACGGCAATCCAGAAGTTGCATTATCAAGGGCAGCTTCCAGCGGAGTTTTTCCAAACTTGTCACGTATGTTAGGGTTTGCCTTTTTTTGCAAAAGAACTGACACAGCATCAAACAAACCATTTTCAGCTGCAATATGCAATGCAGTACGGCCTTGTGTATCTGTTGCATTGATGTCGGAGCCAACAAGGATTAAGTAAAATAAGGAATTTAACCATTCATATCCCTTATTGTTATTTATGTTTCCGCCGCTGTCTTGATAAATCTCTGCATAGCGGTAATGAGATTCAATAAGTATACGAGGATTATCAGAAGATGTCATATTTGAAAACACGAATTTGTCAAGATCCTTGGAATGGATGGTTAGGATGGTATGATGCAGTGCTGTGAGACCATTGTCATCAGTTGCGGAAAGGTTTGCTCTTAAATAACGTAGTAAATTAATAACATCGATAGCACTACATGCTGCCGCTGAATGAATAGGTTTTGATCCATTTAAAGTTCTGCTGTTTAAATCAGCCCTTGCAGCGGCTAACAAATGATGAGCAAATTGGACATGGTTGTGACATGCAGCTACATGGAGAGGCGTCGCACCTTGGCAATCTCGAGCGTTGACATGTGCCCCACTATCAATAAGACGCATTCCAATTTTTGTGTGTCCATATCGAGCTGCTAGATGTAGAGGTGTATAGCCACAATGACAAACATCCTTGTGGTACTCGAATAATTCAATATCATCTAGCATTCTGGAGTCATTTTGCCCGCGTTTTTCCTGAACATCCTGCCAAAAACTGCAGGTGATATTTAAAACTGTCTCGTGTGCTTTAAGAAGCACTTCCAAAATGTCGTGGTTGTTTTCTCGCACAGCTGCATGTAAAGGTGTTCTTCCCGAATAGTCATGACAGCCTAATGCTCGGGCGTCGCTAGAGAGAAGTTCTGTAACGATGCTGTTATGTCCCGATGATACCGCAGCGTGAAGTGCAGTCTCACAGAAAATTAAATGCCTATCATCGTACAGTTCTCCCATTTCATCACTGTTTGATGGCAATAGCAATACAGTTTTAAGCCCAAAGTAAGTTCCTTCTAAAGTTCTGTCTTCAGGACAACCGCGTTTTTTCGTGATTGTATCGTCCTTAAAATGTGAGAGCTTCCTATGGAAACGGTGTTTTGAGTTTAGCCAGTAGAAGGAACCATCACATCTCATGCATTCATCTTTGACACCAATTTGCAACAGATACTTAACCACTTCTAACCTGTTGTTTTTCGCCGCGTGATGGAGAGCAGTTTGATCTGCTACTGCGCCTGCCTCGGTCAAGACCTTGACAACTTCCAAATGTCCATTTTCAGCGGCTAGCTGTAACGCTGTCATGTGAACCTCGTTGGCAGCCGAAATCGCTGCAGAGTTGTTAAGGAGAAACTTGACAACACACAGGTGCCCTTTGTGGGCTGAAACGTGAAGCATTGTGGAGCCCCAAAACTCATATTTTGATTTTAATATAAGAAAACGATTAAAATCAACGATATTGGAATTATGAATGTCTTTGAGAAAAGATGCGAGTGAGTTTGTCTTGCGATTAACATTGGCTCCCCCTCCTACAAGCAATGCTAGATTCTCTACAAGCCCATGTTTAGCTGCAAGAAATGCGGGTGTTATTCCACGGTCATCAATGCTGTCGATCGATTGAAAATGACGCAGGACTAATTTAAGGACATCTGAGTTGTTTATCGTCGCCACAAGATGCAACAAAGTCCTCTTGCTGGAAGGGTCTGAAGAATTCACAACTTGAGAAGGAAAACTAAGGAATTCTCCGAGATACCTCTCGTTCCAACCAGCAATGGCGATATGTTGGACCAGATTGGGAATATGGGTTGACAAAGTTAAGTTATCGCCTTTCCTTATCAGATTAAAGTAGTAGTCACAGAACAATTCGTGACCTCGCTTTTTGCTGATGTAAAATGGGCCATTTCTGTTACTTTCACCCGTAAGCCATTCAATTAAAGAAAAGTGATATAATGTAAGTGTGCCATTTTTCCCGTATCTGAGAAAGTGCCTTAATTCAGTGAATCTATTTTCAAAGTCTGTCAGATGGGCTTCTTTCATAGTTATGTTGAGAACGTGGAATATTTGTTTTTCTGTTAATGGTTCAAACGTTGACACGAGAATTTCCAAGATGCGTTTAAAAGGCTTAAACTTCTCTTGATTATACAATCTTTCGAAGAAGCTCTGATATAACTCACCCAACGATCTGGGCAGGGCATAAGGATCACTTTGAGCTTGCTTTGAGGATTCCCAGTGACGAACCATTTCTTTCACGAACAGAAAATTTCCTTGGCTTTTGCTAAGCAGAGCAGAAATTAACCTTTCGGTGTTTTCTATGCTGTCGTCTCCAAACCACATCTTTAGCTTACGAATCATCGGACCATCTTGATAGAATCTTGCTTCCAAAAATCGTTCAATGTCGTCTAGATTTCGCGTATCTTCGGGTTCAATTATAATTCTTTTTACACTTCTAAAATTAAAGAGGATGCTTGACTCATTACGGGAAGTCATGATAAGTTTGAGCCACGTCGGAAATCGAGGGAGCTTTTGCTTTAGTAGGTAAATGATGCTATCATTGGTATCACTGTGAGACAAGCATTCATCAAGGGCATCTACCGCAAGGAACCATTTCTCTCTTGGTTCATTCTTAAGCCTTCTCAGGGGCGTCAAAATTGACTGTTCAAAACACCCTACAGGATCGTGAATGTCAACGCAGTCGGTATTTAGAGAGCGTTGAATTTGCGTACTGTTGGCGACTGTGTAACCATATTCTGGCAGTCTCCTCGCTATCATTTCTGCCAAATTTCGAACAAACTTCCCCGCAATTTGTGTGTTTTTATCAGAATGTTTACACAGATGGTATCCTAGTACAAGGCTATTGATAGTGCGACTAGACGTTTGGGAACATACCAACTGGGCAAATAGGGCAGACTTTCCTGTTCCTGGATCTCCAATAATAAGGACTCCAGTTGAATCATTCGAGTAGGAGAAGACATCTTCCAGCTCGCTGTAAAGCCAACTTCGACCTGTAAATGTTTCTTTTGCAGCGCTTAAGTAATCCAACCAGTCGAACTCTTTTGTGTCAAATGGGACACGGAGATCTTCCGTGGGGCATCCTGGCAAAGTAAACACAGAAATTTATCAGAGTTCGAAGATCAAGATAAAAATTCTGTTCATTCCCTCCTATCTAATAATAATGATTTAATTCTTATATTGCGCACTTTCCATGAAATGATCAAGCGCGAATTACATCTCAATAATAGTTATTAAAAATATACTATGATATGATTAAAGCATACGGCATGCGTTAAGATACTAGCAACTATCATGTTAAGATTATAAAACTTAATAAAAAGCTTCCTTAAAGAGGTGCGTTTTCAGGTGGCACTTAAAAATCCCTAAATGTGTAAGAGAACGAATCTTACGCGGTAATGCATTCCACAGTGCCGGAGCTGCGACCTGGAATGATCTATCTCCTAATGTAACCCTACTTCTATAAGATAGCGTTGCAAGCAACAATCCATCCAAGGAGGATCTTAATTTATAATTTCCTGGTCTTTTAATTGACACAAGTTCTCTTAAATACGTTGGCGCAATTCCATGGATGGCCTTAGAAACAAATAGCAGAATCTTAATACTAATGCGTCGCCTAACCGGTAGCCAGTGCAGCTCGTATAGCAACGGCGTTAAACGACAGTAGCGTGGCGCGCAACAAACTAGTCTTGCTGCAGCATTTAAGGTGGCTCGTACCGGTTTTCATCTTTTTGATGGTTTGTAACTTTGAAAGAATACAACAGAAAGACTGACCAAGGCCAGTTGAACACTTTTACGGGGTTGAATTACATAATCATTGGTTATCCAAAAATAAGTGTCATTTCGTCACTAGCAGTTTCCATGGCAACGCTTTCATAGGCTTATTCAGACGCATTTTTTAGCTTGTGGCTTAAATAATTCGAAAACTAACCCGGTGACCCCCTGATTTTTTTCAGTGATTGCTTTTGGCACTTGAAAAGGAAAATGCACAAAGATTTTTAAAAAATTCTACGGAGCGGAATTTCAGAAAATCTACAAAAAGGGCAATTTTCACACATCGCAAATTTCCTTCCGTAGAATTTTCTAGTTTTTTTT